AGGAACAAGGGACAGGATGACAAGAGGAAATGGCCTCAAGTTGCACCAGGAGAGGTTTAGGTTGGACATGAGGAAAAACTTCTTCCCTGAAATGGCCATCCAGGCCTGTGCCAGGCTGCCCAGGGCAGTGGTGGAGTCCCCATCCCTGGAGGGGTTTTCCAAGCCGTGGAGATGTGATGCTGAGGGACATGGGTCAGTGGGGACCTGGCAGTGCTGGGGCAATGGTTGGACTCGATTTGACAGGTCTCTTCCAACCAAAATGATTCTATGACTCTTTCATGTCACAGGGAAATGGCAAAAAAAGCCTCTCAGCAGTATGTTCCCCTCTACTTCTCTGTCAGGAGAAGATCCTGGCACTGAAATGCATGCTGTTTGAAGCATGGTGCAACTCACCTTCTGGAGTCACACTATAAAGACAGGCACTCTAGATTTCCAGGACACGTACAGAGAGCACAGAGCTGAAGACAGCGCCCTTGCCTCTTATCAGTGCCACCTTCCAGCAGAGAAGGATCAACGAGAAGCTTTAAGAAGCACACAAGGTCAGAAGTACACTGGCCTCCCACTGATGGCCAGCAAACAAACGAGACAGCAGAGGAGGTGAAGTCTTAGCCATGAGTCTCTCCAAACAGGACATAAAATTAACCTTCTTTTTTGCCCTTAATGGGGCAAATATTACTTTTGAGCCCTAGTGGAGAGCATCCCTTGGAGAATCCCCGTGCTTGGGCCAACACAAATAGCACTAAGATTTGCTGTCTGTGAGAGGACATTATTCTTCCATGTCTGACCAAGACTGGGATGAGGTCAGTCTCTGCGCCTGACAACCCTGCCCACCAGTGAGACCCAGGGCAGTGAGTGCAGGTGGCTGGCAACTGATGTCTGCAGGACCTGCCTGCACAAAAGTGACACTGGAATTTGGTGAGTGAGGAGCTGGCCAGGAACTGGCCCCGGGTGTTCCGAGCCCAGAAGCCCCTGGCAGCCTGGGTTGCACCCCCAGCAGCATGGGAAACGGGGCAGGGAGGGAATCCTGCCCCTCTGCCCTGCTCTGGGGAGACCCCCCTGCAGTGCTGGGGCAGCTCTGGAGTCCTCAGCACAGCAGAGACAGGGACCTGCTGGAGCGGGGCCAGAGGAGCCCCAGCAATGAGCCGAGGGGGGAACCCCTCTGCTGGGAGCCCAGCAGGAGAGAGTTGGGCTTGGGCAGCCTGCAGAGGAGAAGGCTCCAGCTGGGGAGACCTTCTGGGGGCCTGCCAGGACTGCCAGGGGCCTGTCAGAAAGCTGGGGAGGGACTTCTGAGCAGGCCTGGTGCAACAGGATAAGGGCTGATGGTTTGAAACTAGAAGGAGGAGATTTAGACTAGATATAAAGAAGAAATTTTTTTCCAGTGAGGGTGGTGAGCCCCTGTCCCAGGTTTCCCCGAGAGGTGGTCGCTGCCCCATCCCTGGAACCATTCCAGGTGAGGCTGGCCAGGGTTCTGAGCAACCTGCTCTAGTTGCAGATGTCCCTGCCCATGGCTGTGGTGTCTGGACTAGATGACCTTCAAAGGTCCCTACCCGCCCAGAACACCTATGATCCTTTGGCATTCCCATTTCTGACCCGGAAAAGAGATGGAAAGGAAGTAAGGAAGCTGTGATGGGCCACACAAGGCGTGAGTAAAAACAGAGCTTGCTCTGGAAGTGGTAACATCAAGACGTCTCCATCCAACACTGCACAGACCCAAAACTGTAATGGGAAGGGGATGAAAATGCAGAGAAGTCAACAACAGAGGACTGACAATTGAACTTCATCCCAAGCCTCCTTCTTCATTCACCTCTGCTATTCCCTACCTTTAACTCAGGGCCCAGGATTTAGATCCAGGAGACAGACTCTGGGCTGGGAAGAGAAGACAGCAGGGACCCAGCAGTGTTTTGTGAGCTCTTCTGGACTGTCAAACCAAGCACTAGCAACCTGAGAACTTTTAATACTGAGCAAGAGTTCTGCATGGAAGAAAAAAAACAAAACAAACCAGTTTCCTCACCTACACGTTTCAGTCACAGGCAGTATCCCAAGCTGTGTGGTAGTGACTAAATCTGAAGCTCCACACTAGTGCACAAATTAATGGCTCATCAGCTAGTTTAAGAGTCACCTTTACCCTAATATTTAATATCTAGCACTAGGTGATGTTAACTTTTACATAGATGTGTTTCATGACATGTAGCCAAAACATGGATTTTGTAGCTAAAATAATTTGACATTTGAAATAAAAATCCTGTCTGAAATTTAAATTGGGCAGTAATTGCTCTGCAGAATCTGAATACATTATGGATAGAAGTTATTGGTTATGGGAAGGTCAAATTTGCATTCAGCTTATTAAAGGAAGACTCTACACAGACTTTGGGCAGGGCATGCATTCTGCTGTTGTACCCAGGAGCTTCCCCATTACACTGGGCAGTAATTTACTGACATGTTGGTAAAATAAATTCATATCATTCAACAAAGAAGCTGCAAGGAAACAGAGAACTATATAACCAGTGGTATTAAAAGTCTCATCCTTCCTGAATTGTTTCAACAGCTGCTTATTAAACTAAGAAAAAAATGACAGTTTCAAATATATAGGGTAATTTTGAAGGTCCTGATTATCCCAGTCCATACCTACAACACATGGATCAAAATTCAGGAGATAAATCCATTTTTAGTTCTTTTGGAATCGCCACACGTGTCTTTTACACAGAGAATGAAGTCCCTTAAAGCCTGTCCTCTCGGCCAGTTCTGACACAACTTTACACTACATGAAGGACCCACTCAGATCATGGTGCAGCCCCAAGTTTTTTAGATACTGCTGTTTATTGACGTTAGTGAAGAGCAAAAACAAAGTCTCGGACGCCCAAATCTTCCATTTAACACAGAAGGAACTAGCCCCCCAGGCTCCCAACACCACTTTTGCTTTTTCCTGGAGCTGAATTACTGAACTGATTTGCTCACAGAAGTGGTCTTACAGCATGTAACCTGGCAATTAAAATCAAGAGTTATGATTTGCCTAGGCCTCCGTTATACACCTAGGAATTTTCTCTAGAGAGTGTGCAAGTGAGGCTACAGCTCCAGAAACAGCTTTATGCTCTGACAGTCTCATTAGTACGATCCCTGAATGGCTTCAGCAGAAAAAAAGGCAAAGTTTGTTCTTTCTAAATGTATTAAATGAAGCCATCGTCCTTGATGACGAAGGCTGTGGTAGCTTTACTAAGCACATGTTTCATCAAACAACAGCATCTTCTGCCAAAAAAGGAGTATGGGTCTCTCAGAGAAGATTTTCCTACTTACATCCCAAACCATCAGGCCTCCAACTGGCCCTGAAGGCCACAAACTACCTTGTTAAGCTTGGACATAGACTTCTGGAACCGTGTCAGCTGCACAGCAGCTCCCTGGAGGCAGGAGGGAGTACAGAGCTTCAGCAGCAGCAGCAGTCCTCTCAGCAGGGCAACTACTCTCCAGGTGCACACCCCTTGCCTGAGCAGGCATTTAAGGATTCCAGCACAGAATCCAAGGCTTAATTACAAGCCAGGCTCTGTGCTGTGGCAGGATAATTGGCGGACCCTGGAAGTGAATGCTTGCGTGCTTGCTAATGCACTGAAAAGCAGTGCAAAGTTAACACATCTAATTATTCTATTAGACAGGGAGTAATTCTGCTACTAATATATACAAAGTCAAGGGACATTTTAATAACAGACCCTTTAGTCCCATATGTAACAAAATTATAGGAGTAAGGAATCGATTATGCCCCTGCACTCACCACTGGGGAGGCCACAGCTTGAAGACTGGGGTCAGTTTTGGGCCCCACAGGATGAGAAAGACCTTGAAGGGCTGGATCCCAGCCCAGAGAAGAGCAACAAAGCTGGGGAGGGGTCTGGGGAGCATGGCTTGTGAGGAGCAGCTGAGGGAACTGGGGGTGCTGAGCCTGGAGAAGAGGAGGCTCAGGGGAGACCTTCTGGCTCTCCTCAAGTTCCTGCAGGTGGGGTGAGGTAGGGGTTGGTCTCTTCTCCCAAGGAACCAGTGACAGGACAAGAGGCACTGGGCTGAGGTTGCCCCAAGGGAGCTTTCAGTTGGATCTGATGCAGAATTTCTTTCCTGGCAGAGTGGTGAGGCCTTGGCCCAGGCTGCCCAGGGAGGTGCTGGAGTTCCCAGCCCTGGAGGGGTGCAAAAAGTTTGTGGATGTGGCACCTGGGTGCATGGTTTAATGCTCATGGTGGTGTTGGACTTGATGATCTTGGAAGTCTTTTCCAACCTTAATGATGCTATGAAAATTTCTTTCACATGAATACCAGATCAGCCCTGCAGCTTTAACTGCTTTCAAAAATTCACTCTTTGCCAAGTGATTTGTCTTCGTTAACACAAGTGCTAATCCTCCAGCCAGCAGGTCAGAAAAGAGCCACAGCTCATGTCACAACATGAAACCTCATTTCACTGCAGCTGCATTGGCCTGACAGACATTTCAGAAACTAACAGAAATGAATCACTTTGGCTCCCCACGAACATTTGCTCCCATGTTCAGGGCCTTCCAGCTGAGCAAGCACGCCAGCTTGCACTGTCTCACTGTACAGTGGGTGCTTTTTAAGTCCCCATGTTCCTCCTTGACTGGTTTGCTCACATTCATTCACTGAATCAGTATCAGAAACAGCCCCTCAGACCTGCACTACCCCAATTATTTAACTCATGCCTTAATCCTTTCAATCTAACACCAAATACGGATTCTCAAGAATCTAGGAAGGTATAATCCCATACCCATAAAGCTTATTCAATAACTTCCCTTCTCTAATGAGAAAAGAAGTTCCAAGTCATTTTCTGGAAGGTCAGGGATCCTTCTGAACCTCAGCCAGCAATCCATCTCTGATACAGATCTTGCTGGGTATGGGCTATAAACATCCCCCCAAGAGCCCTGCAGTGGCTTCCCAAGGTCCAGGGAAGTCCCATGTCCACAACGGTGCACAAACAGAAGCAGTGTCAGGGCTGGTTGTGGCCAACACCTCACTCACCTGTTTTACATTGTATCCTGCTTTTGCACTAGTTTCAATGAACATGACATTCAGCTCTTTGGCTTTTCTTTCTCCTTCTTCAATGGACACTTGTCTGGGGAAGATAACACAGAATTAGGAAAAAACACAGACAAACACCACAAAAATTCAGATTTTCATCTTCAACCCAAGGAGGTGACTGCTTCATTAGCAGTTCTGACAGCATTCAGTGTTTTTTCCCTGCATACAGAGGCCACACACTGAGCCAAGCTGTAGACAAACATCACCACTGCACACTATCTGATGGACTTCAAGGGCACACCCAGCTCCCAGAGTCAGCTCTCTGGTGAACAGCTCAGTAGACTAACTGGACTCCTCCAAACCCCTGTCCAGCAACCTGCTCTAGGTGCAGATGTCCCTGCTCACTGCAAGGGGGTTGGACTGGATAACCTTGAGAGGTCCCTTCCAAGCCAAATCATTCTACGATTCTAAGATATTCTTTTATGTCTGAACAGTGAGTAGGCAATAGCAACTCCAGGCTTGGAGAAGAGTGTCTGGAAAACTGCCTGGTAGAAAAGGCCCCAGGGGTGCTGGTGGCCAGCCAGCTGAACGTGAGCCAGTGTGTGCCCAGGTGGCCAAGAAAGCCACCAGCATCCAAGCTGGGATCAATGTGTCCAGCAGGAGCGGGGCAGGGATCATGCCCCTGCACTGGGGAGGCCACAGCTTGAGGACTGGGGTCAGTTTTGGGCCCCACAGGATGAAAAAGACCTTGAGGGGCTGGAGTGGGTCTAGAGAAGGGCAACGTTGCTGGGGAGGGGTCTGGGGAACATAGCTTGTGAGGAGCAGCTGAGGGACGTGGGGGTATTGAGCCTGGAGAAGAGGAGGCTCAGGGGAAACCTTCTGGCTCTCCTCAAGTTCCTGAAAGGAGACTGGAGTGGAGTTGGGCTCTTCTCCCAAGGAACCAGCAATAGTATGAGCAGCAATAGGCTGAAGTTCCCCAAGGGAGCTTTCAGTTGGATCCGAGGCAGAATTTTTCCTGGCAGAGTGGTGAGGCCTTGGCCCAGGGCAGTGCTGGAGTCCCCAGCCCTGGAGGGGTGCAAAAACCATGTAGATGTCGCATGTGGGGACATGGTTTAGCGGTCATGGCAATGTTGGGTGATGGTTGGACTTGATCTGAGAGGTCTTTTCTAACGTTAATGATACTATGATTTTAATACCAAATAATAATCACTAGCTTGCAGCCTATAGAACAGTTTTAATAAAGGACCAAGCATAATGTCATATTAAATCAGTTTTGTTTCCTACTCCCCTAGTTGGGTGTCCCACCCATTAAGCACTCTGCTGAAGCTAAAAGTGGGGGGAAATTTTGGTTCAAGAGCTGCCAAAGAAAAACCATGAGGTATCTGAGGAGCATACAGATTTGTAAACAATTCTGAATAGCCAGCTGTAAATCTGAACTAAGGGTCACAAAAGAAGCTATTCTGAAGAAACAGGGACTTCAATTAAATCCAGAATACTTCCAACTCATGCTTTTCTTTTGGCTTTGTGACTCTGCATTTGTGTTAGTACCATAAACCCAGAAATAAGCAGCAAATGCAGCTGAAGATGCACAACTTCTAATAAAAAGATTGAAATTTGTCAGTTAATGAAAATTTCTGTGTCTTGGTACAGCTTGGGTGCAGCCCAAGACAGAGAGTTTTAAAATGGAGGATTACTTCCACCTATTGTTTTTATCTGAGCAAATTTATTAACTATGAGTCTTTGTGACAAATTCAGCTTTTCATTGGAGGATGGAGACTGTAGTTAATAATAATAAATAATAATTCTCTCCTGCCATCTGAACAAGCTGTTGAGTTTCTCAACTCATTCATAAACTGTGCTAGAAACTTGTGCCTAACCAAACAAAAGAAGTTGCAAAATTGAGATTTCTCTAGTCACAACCATCTCCAGTTGTTAAAACAAGTTTGAGCATTTTGGGGAAAAAAAGAAAAAAAAGAATTAAACAACAAGTGTTTGTTTTTTTTACAGTAGCTGTCTAGGAGCAAACAGGAGCAGTTTCAGCAGAGCATCTGAAAGACGAGTTATTCCTGCGTACCTCTTATCTGCTAGGTCTGTTTTATTCCCCACCAGCATAATGATGACATCGCTGCCCCGTTCCGTTCTGACGTCATCGATCCACTTTGTGGTCTGCTGGAAGGAGTTTACATCTAACGGAGAAGAGTGGAGAGGATTATCACTGCAGGCATGCCCCACAGCCCACGGGCAAACACATCTGCACGTCCCAGAGAAAGGCTTCACGTTCTCTGGAGCTGGCACCACAGGGCAAGGAGGAATGGGCACGTGAAACCCTGAGTCTCCCACATTCATGGGTATGGAAACCTTGGCATGAATTCCAACTGGACTAAGCACTTCCTTACAGCTGAATTCAGAGCCAGGGACTGAACTGAGTCGATCTGTAACTTGGTTTTGACAGAGTCTAAAATGAGGGGTCTGATCACAGTGTTTTAGGCCAGTTCCCTTGTTTGGTTTTTTTTTTTAGCTCAAGTTATATATTTTATAGAGAGAATGGGGATTAATGTGATATGACATTCTACACTGCTCATGACTTGTGCATCTACAGTTCTCTAAAGTACTCAATACCAGCTCCACCAGCTTAATCAGCTTTTACTTGCTAGGCTCAGGATTTTCTCCAGAAAATAGTTCTTACAACATACTAGAAACTCCTGTATCACTGAAAACTGAGTTCAAAATAGTTTCCGCATCATTCGCATAGAACCAGAAATACAAATCTAACCTCTCCACAGACACTTTTTTTCAATGATACATCCTTAAAAGCTGCAAGGTAAGAATTTTTGGAAGCTCTCCTGATCTAACGAGACATGTCGTTTGAAAAGTTGCATCCTGGAAGGAAAAACAAGTTGTAGAGATGCTGCCACAGAGCTCAGTGCTTGCCAGAAGCTACAACAAAGAGCATCTGAGTTGCCAAAGTAGTTTGCAGCACTTAAAAAAAAGGGAGGGTAGGGGAGCTTTGCAGCAGTTCTTGACAAGTATTGATTTTTTTTAATGGCTTTTACTGCCTAGCAATATATTGTACGCCAGCCAGTTGAGACTTGATCACTTGCCAGCATCTTTAATTCTTCTCTTTACTACTTCGTAATAGTGAATTTGCTAGGTCAGTAAAAAAATGTCAAAGTTCACAGCTAACCTGGGATTTTAGCTCGAATGCAAGTGCTATTTGTCACAATTAAAGCTTTTATAGGTAAAGCACCTATTCCTGCTCTAACCTTCTACTATTCAGAAATCAAAGGTCGAGCACTTTTGCATTGGTATAGAATTAGGCCACTGCTCTCAGTCAATCAAACTGAACATATCTGAAGGTTTAGTTCTCCCAACCCAAAATTTCTGCTCTTCGTAAATACAGAAAGTTCATAAATTAGGAGTCTCCAGACTGAGGGGAGGAACAGAAGGAGAAGGCTTGAAAGAGCACTAACATTTTAGTTCACAAGAATGTACATACCTTAGTAAGAAATGAAAGAGCAATTGTTAAAGGATAAGGGCTCGGTGGTTAAGTTTTACGTATTGCAAAACGTGAAAGTGGCTGATTCAAATGGAAATGTGACATTAATGCATTTTCCCCCCAGCCCATGCCCAGATTTTTTTTTTTGGGGGGGGGGGGGGGGGGGAGGGTAAATGGAGTGAAGCAAGCTACAGCTATCAGTGCAAAGTCTCTGATTTAAGAACTCATATCTATGAACATGATTCAGGTGTTTGAGACCAAAAGTCATGGGTGATATTACGATCAAAAAGCAGATGAAAGAGGATAAGGTGCAACAAGAGCAGCCAGGACTCAAGACTTTGGGAGAACGCAAGAGGAAAAGGGTTACAAATGATGTCGTTCGTGAGACAGTTCATACATAACAACAGCAGCGATCAAGTGCTTAAAATTTGACCAGAATAAAAGAAAGTCTCTTTTTTTTTTGTCATGCCAGAATGAAGAACAAGCAGATGACTGTGATAGGACATGCAAAGCTAGGCTATAGGATGAAAGGGGCAGAGTATTAGAAATGCAGAATTCCCCCCACTCACTTGTGATATCATAAACAACAACTGCAACAGTGGAGTCACGAATGTAGCTAGGAATCAAGCTCCTGAACCGTTCTTGACCTGCTGTGTCCCATAATTGCAACCGTACCTAACAAAATCAGTCAAACAAGCAAGAAAAATAAGAAAAAGGTCAAACCCAGTGCAATATACCTACTTGTGATATCGTAAACTACTACAGCAGCAGCAGAGTCACGGATGTAACTGGGAATGAGGCTACGGAAACGTTCCTGACCCGCAGTATCCCACAGCTGCAACCTGATCTGTGGGTGGGAGAAAATTAAAAAAGCCAAACCGCCACTAAAAATAAAAGCGTAAAGAAATTTTACTTGTTGAAAAAAGCTAAAGAAAAATGATAAACTCATGCAGGAGGTGGGCGACTGGGAGCAGCAGCACAGTCTCCTTTATGGCAGGTATATGGTATATGTGCACCTCCCTTGGCTTTTCTGCTGTCTTTGCTCATTAAAATCTGCCTCCCTTCCAAAAGGGGAGAAATAGAACTGCTCGGCTTTCCAGCTGAGAGGACCAACATGAAAACTAAGGCAAATGTTCACCTGCAGCTCTGCCTACACCAGATTTTCATGCGCTGCTGCTATCCTTCCTCAGGGCTCACATGTGTAACCTCCAGCAGCCTGGAGGTTGGTTGCTGGTGGAAGAATCAGAGCATATGTCTCAAGAGCAAGCCTTCAGCTGCTGTCACAGTGCTGGAAAAGCAACTAGTGTGAAGTTTTCAGGGAGGATAAAAGGTTTGTTGTTACTCTGTATTTAAGCCTTAGCCACACTGCACCCTACCATGCACGCAGATAAGGCTGCCGGTCTCTTATCATCAAGGTTCTGAAAGGAAAGGCAAGCTAGGCTAAACGCAACAGGACTGGCAAGATGTGCAAGGCCCAGTTTTGCTATGGAAGGTACATCTCCTCGCTCAAGCACTTCCAACACAATCCCATTTATTCCTGGTTTGCACAAGGCCATAAGCTCAGGCAGTGCTGCACAATTTGCTTCTGCAAATAGCTCAACGGATGAATTTCTTAATTAAGAATCTGAGCTCATTTTAAACTACAGGCTGGTTTCCACAGAGGAGTGACTTCATTTCAGGAACTAGAGCTGCACTGAGCTAAGGAACAAGCATAATTTGTAGATTACTGCTGAAGGCAACCTTCTTTTTAAATGAGTAACACTGAGAACATCAAGCCAGCTACTCACTGGCAACATTTGGCAATTTGTATTTTATTTTTCTGTCTTGTGACATGAAAAAATGGAGGAGTTAAGCACGGTGCTCTTCCCCAAATTCCATCACGCATCCCTCAAACTATCCATACCACCCCTTTCTTCAAAGAGGGTGACACCAGAGCACCTTCTGCCACCTGTGAAATGTCACTGGTGAGCCCTCCGCAGCTGAACCAACTGGAGATTTCCCAGTTCTCTGAGCAGAGACAGGAGCTGTCTCCACAGCACTTCTCAGTCTGGCAGCAGCTGGCAGCTAGAGGCTCGGGGCTCTGCTTCCAAGTGATCTCAGAACTGTGGGCTGCACAACTACAACAGATGCTGAGCCTCATTCTCTGTACATAGAGAAGTGCAATGAAAATCTTACTCACTGTTCGATCCTCCAAATACATGGTTTTCGATAAGAAGTCGATGCCAATTGTTGCCTGTAAAAAAAATGAAAAAAAAAACAAAAGACATCTCTTAAATAAAACGTCAGAACAACTGCAGTGATTTTTCAGGGCAGAGAGCGTCACTGCCACATCAGAATTCAGCACCTGTAGCACACCTGCAAGAAAAATATGCTGGTGTTCTTACATTCAAGATACAGCTCTACCTCTAAGGAAGATTCAATAAGTGGCTTCTTTAATATCTAGAACCAGAATGATATCTTAAAGCACAAAAATCTGTTAACTTTGACTTCAATCTATGCATATTCACGGTTTAATCTATTCAGGTATCAACAAGGATTTTTATGTATGACCTAAATTAGCGTCCATCAGCTGAACCAGGGTATCTGGGCACACTCAGTTCTTCCTGATCACCAATTACTTGAACTTTAAGCCATTTTCATTAAGGCTGAGGTGGATATCTTCACATCTGCTGCAACACATGGCCCTCAACAATTACTACAGGTCAGTTAATCTTAAAGCTCACTGCAGTGTAACTGCATCCAAGTTTCTAGACACTAGTGGGAGCTTCACAAAGAACATCCTGATACATGTTTAAGAGCAAAGCACTACTAAGCTCTATCAAGAGCTGCTTCTTAAATACATGATCTCCACCCCAGTTTTCAAGGCTGCAGTGAGGGTGAACCCAAGCTTGAGGAGTGAGTTTGCAGCAGGGACACGACTGAGTTGACCTGCTGGCACTGTCAAGCTGTCCTTGCTGCAGCAGGATGCTGAGCTGCTATGCTTCTCAGCACAGAATCACAGAGTCATAGAATAGTTTGGGTTGGAAAGGACCTTCAAAGCCCATCTAGTTCCAACTCCTGCCACAGGCAGGGACACCTCCCACGAGACCAAGCTGTGCAAGGCTCCAGCCAACCTGGCCTTGAACTCCTCCAGCAATGGAACATACACAACTTCCCCAAGCAACCTGGGCCAGTGTCTCACCACCATCAAAGTGAAGAACTTTGTCCTTATATCTAACTCTCCTCCCTTCCAGTCTGACCCTATTACTTCTTATCCAAGGCTCACAATCCCTTGTAAAAAGTCCCTCCCCAGCTTTCTCATAGGCCTCCTTCAGATATTGGAAGGCCAGAAACATCAACAGAGCCTGGAAAACATTCCAAATAAATTGATTTTAAAAGGAAAAATCTACGTGAGAGGTAAGTCTCTCGGCTAGGGCTTGATACAACCTCCTCCTGCCTTCCCACACTGAGGCAGGTATTTCTAATGAAAAGTATTTTACTGTATTGTTACACTGCTGTTATGCCCTCACTACATATCCCCACAATTAGTTCCTTCTATCCTGCCAGAAATTTTACGTGGCAGGAATAAAGAACGGAGCCAGCTGGCTGGCTTGTGAGCAATACAGAGAAACCAGTTGTAAATGAATTTAAAGAAAAAAAGCAGGACTGAACAATCCAAACTGAATTTTCACTAGCAAATAAATAGAACACATCAGAACCCAAACTTTCCTGTCTGGATCAGGACACCAGATTTGGAGTATCAGAGACACACACAGGAAAAATAAATAGCAGTGGATCCCAGGATGGCTACCCAGTCATTCTTCAACCATCACCAAGGGCGCTGACACTACCAGTTCTGAGAGATGATACTGAAACTAAAGTGATATGAGAAGCCACAAAAAAACCCCTCTAATACAACTATAAGCTTCCCTCCTGGTTTTTGTTTTCTGTTGGTTTGACTGAAGGTACTCCACAGAAGATTGCCTCAAAGATGCTTTTATCTTCCTTCACGTCTACTTGATTTCACTTTACAGAATAAAACTGAAAAAAAAAAAAA